GCTTGGCGTGCAGAGCGGGGCTGGGCAGGAAGAGTGGGAGCAGCTCCTGTTTTGCAGGGAGCTCACGAGCCTGGCAGGACACACAGAGCACCTTTCTTCCCTTTGAGAGGCTCAGCACATCCAAACGGGAAGTCAGTGAGACACAGTAAACAGGGATATGTAACAAGGCCATTTTTTACAGCCTTTTTGGAACAGAACTCAGTTTCAAAAAGCACAGAGTAAATAAAAAGCCAGAGGACCTGAGCAGGGCAAATCAGAGTGGCTACACAGACCTTGTTCAAAAAACCCACCCACCTAGGCAGCTCTGATAATACTGAATTATACTTAACTATCATGACATATGGAAGTAATTACAAGCACTGCAGCTATAAAGCCTTCAAGTGGCAAGTTAAAAACCCCAAAGCCTTGTGAATAATTCCCTGCACCAAATTGTCTAGGCCTGCCTCCATCTCCCCTGTACCTGGGGAAGGCTCCGAGCCAGCTGCTCCCAGTTGTCACAGCAAAGCAGCACCTACATCATCAATAAACAGGATTTGGATGGCAAATGAAGAAAAAACAACAGGATGGAGCCATCTGACAGCTCAGTCAGGTGTGGGGCATCGCAGCCATCAATCCTGGCAGTCAGGTTCACTTGTCTGCCTGGTTCCTTAATAAGAGCAGAGCAGAGCAGTGGGCAGCCCAGCCATCACTCCAATTACATTTGCTGCCTCTCATCAGCCTCCAGGGCCCAAATCAAACCTCCAGGCACTGCAGGGCAGGGTGGATTCCCTCTGGAGAGATGTCAATATGCTTCAAAATAAGAATCCTTAATGAGCTGGCCATTACTGCTAACTTCACGTCTGTGCATGCAGCAACACGTTCACTCTGTGGTTGCTTCATCTCCAGAGTCCAGGAGGTTCTGGAGCAGGGAAAATGAAGATAATGAAGATTTTTGGCAGTGTCCAGACTAGCCTTTGAGGAGGGGTGAGAGGCACCAATTTCCACCTCTCTTAATCCACAGAGATTGCAGCAGGTGCTCAGACAGCCAGGACAGAGCAGCGGGGCAGGATTTGGGATGGTTATTGCTTATTTCTCAATTGTTCTCCCTTGAATTAACCCATTTTCCTTCAGCTGCAGAGACTGGGAGCAGAAATACCCTTCAGAGCATCACCACGAAGCTGAGCTCAGCCACCAGAGGAGGGACAGTGCAAGGAACTCCCAGATCCCCCCGTTTTCCTGGATAATCCCTGATCAATCCCACACTTACAAAGGTGTCTGGTACAGCTGATGCAGCCCCCACGAGGTCTCTGCTCCTGAGAGGGAGCAGCCTTCCCCAGAAACCTCCAAACACATCCAAGGCCCTGTCAGGAAGGATTAATTTTATCTAAGACAAATGCAAAAAAAAAAAAAAAATAAAACCTCACAAAACTCACAGCACCAAATATCAACTTCACCCAAACATGCAGGTGTTTTATTGCACTTATGTTTTTTTATGCTGAAACATGAGTGAAGAGTAATTTAATTTGTATTTGACCAGAGAGTTAACAAAATTACGATTCAAACCTGATTATTGATGAAAATGCAAAGTTTAAAGATCTCAATCTCACTCACAAGAGCAGCTGTAACACACAGTGACAGAGGACTGGAGGTAGGAAGGGGAATGGGGAGAACAGTGGGGTTCTGGGGATGGCTCAGGGAATGCAAACCAGAGGGCTCCTCCCCTGCTCCCATCTGCAAATTCAAATGTCCTTTACACCCCACTCTCCCAGCTGGCTGGAAAATCACCCTGAGTGACACCCCCAGAAATCCAATCACAGAAACAGACATCATGATCAATAAGCACCGAGGGCAATCACCCTCATGCCACTTCTCAGCCCTCCAGAAAAAGTCTCAGCAGCAAAAGCAATGAGCAGAAATGAAGTTTTACTCCAGGCTCATCAAAACTCACGTCCAGCAACTCTCAGAAGAGAGCTGGGATTCAAGATTGTTTTTCCTGTTTATTTTGTTGGCCACTCTGGAAGTTCTTTGGGTCATCCCATCCTCCCAGGCACCACCAAACACCAGATTTGGGTCTCTGGAACTGAACATGGAAACAAAGCAAAATTCAGACCCCAACCTAACAGGGTGATTTGCCTCATTTATTTAATTAAGCATCATGTATTAAACTACTGCTGCAAGGCCACTCTGGCCTCTCTGCTGAACAAACACAGGGAGGTTTTATGAGGTTGGGGGAGCTTTTAAGAGGACAGGGACACCAGTCCATCTCTGCACAGCAGGAGCATCAGTCCCTGCAACCTCCCTGGGCTGCCAACGCTCCAACCTTGCAGCACACCTCCAACAGCTGCAAGGAAAAACAAATCAGCATGGAAAGGGATTAAAAAAATAAGACATGAGTGCCTGGATCTTAAAGTGCTTCTCTGCAGAGATGTGATTTCACCTCTGGCGTTTGAAATGCTGCTCACCTTGGGCAAAAATCTGTTCCTTATTACACACCTGCACAGCCCCACTTAATTCAGCAGGAAAGGTGGATGGCAGAGCGTTACTGGGTGTTTCAAGTCTAGCACAAGTGTCTTGTCCCCTGGCATTTCACCTGATTAATAACAACATGAGCTCTCCAGTGAGGCAGACAGCTGGCTAGCCAGTCCAGCCAGCCAGGCAAAATGTGAATTTATCATCAAAAACAACCTCTGAAGTTCCTTGTGCATCCCTGCCCCATGTCTGAGCACATCACAGCTGGCTGGCAAAGATGGATTCCTACATTATTCCTCTGAAATTTGGCCTAGAGACACTGAACTGCTCCCCCAGAGCCACAGCAGGGCTGGGGCATCCCAGGGGTGTTTGTCCCTTTTGTGGTTGGGCTCAGCTCCTTCCTCCCCATCACCTCCCCAGGCTGCCAGCACAGCAAAATTTGGGAAGAAGCCAAATTCCCAAACCCAGGAATGACCAAAAGAGCACATCAAATATGAAGGCTGGCTCCAGAGTGGTTTGGGTCCCATCCTGGCTGAGGCAGCGGCTGAGCCTCACCAGAGCATCCACTCCCATGCCAGGTGATGCTCTGCAGCTCCTGTGGGCTCAGCTCTGTGCTGGTCCTCCCTCTCCCCAGACCTGATTTTCAGAGAGTGCCACCAAACCCATGGCAATCAGTCCCCTCACACATCCCCTAAAGCCTGTGAAAGCAGCCAGGTGGGATAAGCAGAAAGCAATTTTATTAAAGACAGCAGGGCTGTAAACTCTCCTCTCTGACCAGCAAACAGCAGCAAGGACAGCAAGAGCCTCCTCTCTAAACCACCCTGGCATCCTCCCTGGATCACAGCTCCCACAGAACCAGAGTTTAGGTTGGAAAAGCCCTCTAAGATCAAGTCCAACCAATAACCCAGTACTGCTAAATCTGCCACTAAACCACATCCCCAAGTGCCACATCTTTAATCCCATTCTGAGCTGCCCACAGGACAACTACAGCACCAAAATTAACTTTGTAGGATTACAGAATTTCCTTAAAAAAAGCCAAAACCCAAATCCCAGTGTGCCATTCTCAGCACATTCTAGGAAAGCTCCAGCCCTCCTCATCCACAGCTCCTGCAAGGCAGTTTGTATTTGGAAACATCAACCTGAGCAGAAAACAGTTTGATCAGTTCACAGCCTGGAAAGCCAAGAGGAGATCTCACAGCATTATTCCAGCCTGGAAAGGGGCATCAGGACGTGTTGTTATTTACTCTGGGCTGGTTTCACCACAGGAATTCCCATCCTTGTGCTTTGCCAGGATCAAGGACATCCTCACAGCAAAGTGCCCTTTGCTCCCCGAAGAGGGGCTCCAAATTTGGGGGCTCCTGGCTGTCCTCAAGCACAGCAGCCACCCCAGCACACGCGGTTGTGTCCTGCTGGGTGAAGGGGACAAACAGCCGGGGAAAAAAATTGCCTTGGAAGGAAACTCCAGCGGAAAAAGGGAGAGGGATTCGCTCTCTCAGCACAGAAACAGAGCTCATGTGGGCAGTGGGGGTTATTTATCCTTGAAGGCTTCAGCGGAGCTAAACGCAGAAAGTTTCCTTTTGATTCCACCACTAGAACCTGTTGTTCTAAAATAAAAGCCGGCGCTCTAAAATGAACTTGTCGACACAGGGGCTGCCGGCGGGCAGGGCACAAACCCCCATTTCGTTTGATTCTAATCGATTTCACTTCCCGATTCCCATGCAAATACCTACAGCTCAGCTTGCAAAAACACCAGCGGAGCACTTAGACCCAAAACAACCTGAGCTGATTTTACTTCTTTTTTTCTTTCTTTCTTTTTTTTTTTTTTTTTTTTTTTTTTTTTTTTTGTTGTTGTTGTTCTTTTCCGTTTGTTTAAGCGTCCTTCCACCAAACCAACCAGGAACTGGAAACACTTCCAGGGATGGAGGCCTTTTAGAGTAGCCAAGTAGTAGATCCACAATGTCCCAGAGGACAAGGCAAGGGGAGCCGGCTGCAATTGGAGTCCCCGACCTGAGGCTCCCATCACCTCCCGCCCCGCAGATGCGGCACCGGGGCTCGGACACTGCCCTGGCCTCGCTCCCTGCCCGGCTGCTTTTGGGGCAGGCTCGCAGAGCACCGGAGGTTCGTGTGTTTTCATAAATTTATTCATTTATTTTGCTTTGAGTCTTCCCAGCCAAAGTTTCGTCCCGGCGCCCGCTCCTCCCGCACATCTCAGACGAAGCAGCGCCTCCATGAAAACCCCGAATAATCCCATCTCCTCCTCTTAGCCCTGTTATTTGCTTTTGTTTCGCCATGACTGTAAACACAAGGGGGATGTTTCCCTCCTTGCCGGGGTGTTCTCTCCCTGCCCCGGAGCCTTTCCCGTGAGGCTCCCCCGGCGCTGGACCGGCGAGAACCGGGGGGATAAAGGCAGGGAGGAGCTGCGGGGTGGGAGACAGACGGTCTCCATCTCACCCCATCCCATTCCCGCATCCCACCAACTTGTGCCAGAGCCACGGCCGCATCCAGGCGCTCCTGGGGGTTCCCCACCCCTCCATCCCTCGCTCCCGTCCTACCTGGGACATCTGCGGCCTGAAGTTGATGTCCTTGAGGTCGATGGAGCCGGGGGACAGGTTGTGGAGCAGCTGGCACAGCAGCACCCCGTCCCGCAGCGCCTGCGCCAGGTCGAAGACCACGGCCGAGGGCCAGACCACCCGGTGGTTCGGGGGCAAAACTTTGCAGTCGATCAGCCAGCGGCCGCACTGCCTCCACTCCTCCATGGCCGCGCTCTGCTCGCTGCCCCGGCCTTCCTCTTCCTCCTGCCGGCGCTCAGGGGCCGCGGGCAGCCCGAGGGGCCGCCGTGCTCTCCGCGCTGCCGCCCCGCTCCATCGCCGCCCCCGAGAGCATCGCTCCGCGCCGGGGCTGCGAGCGGGAGGAGGAGGAGGAAGAGGAGGAGGAGGAGGAAGGAGGGCGGCGCGGAGTTTTCCGGCGGAGGGCTGCCCCTGCCCCCGCCGCGGCCCCACCGCCTGGGCCGGGGTTAGGCGCGCCGCATCCTCCGGGAACAAAGCGACGGACAGACGGACGGACGGACGGACGGCGGGGCCGCCCCCCGCGCAATTCCGCCGCGGTGCCCTGTGGAAACTTGCAGCGCTGAGAGACCCCACCTGCCCGGCCGAGCCGGGGAGCCGCGGTGGGTGCGAGTTTTCTCCCCGCCCCGGGCAGCGGAGCAGCCCCCGGCCCGCCCCCGGCCCGCCCCGCTGCCCCTTTGTCTGCGGGAGCGGGGGCGGGGGGCGCTTTGCGACGCTCTGGCTCGGAGCCCGCTTCTTTTTCCTCAGTATTTTTTCCTTTTTCCCCAACATTTTTTTTTTTTCCTTTTCCCCCAGTATTTTTTTCCTCTCTCCAATTCCCCTTTTTTTTTATTTTTCCCGGTTTTATTTTTATTTTTTTCCTTCCTCCCCCCCGCCCCCTCCCTCCCTCCCTTGTCATATCCCTCGCTCCCTCCCTCCTCTGCCGCTCCTCTCCCTGTTCCGGGAAAGCCGCCCAGAGCCCCGCTGATGTTTCGCTGTCCCGGCTGGCACAGCGGGTGTCCTGGGCAGGGTCCCCGCGGTGTCCCCAGCCCCGGGGACAGCGGCAGGAGCGGTGCCGGGGCTCCTCCGCCTCCCCCGGCCGCGCACACACAGACCCCGCTTTGTCTGAGCGCTCGCTCCCACTCGGCATCCCGTGTTTGGGCTGCAAATACTGCAGCCGAGATGTTTAACCCAAACAAGCGATCGTGTTCCTTGACTTTCAAACGGGAGGACAACTCCTATAATTAATTACCAGTGTATTTATTAAAAACCTCGACTCTCAGGCATTAACTCCTTGGCAGCAAACTCTTGAAAAATCTCTAATTTTCACCGGTGGCTTCCTTCCAAATCAGCGCGGCTTAGAACAGCCTCTTTTTAAATCTGTTCCGAGTTTTCTTCCGAGATCCTCTCCCCAGAGTTTGCCCATTAATTTCCAGCCCGGCTTTCCAGATAGCCAAAAGCGGAAGCCGGGACTGGGACGAAGGGAAGCTATTAACCTGGATGTCAAACAAATGCAACACTAATCTCTTCCAAATGGAACCAAGCGGAGATAAAGGAGAAAGAGCAACTCTATAGCCATGATCCTTCATTTTCAATCTAGCCGGGAGGATCTGTGCGAAGAAAACAATTGTTTAATATTCCAAGGATAGTTTGTGGGGGGTTAAAAGAAGAAATGCTTTCATCCCGAGGTGCTGGGTGTCCGCAGCTCCCGGCTGTGCCCCCGGGCCAGGGCAGGGTACGAACGGTGCGATCCAAGAGGGAGCAGCATCCACACGCTCCGGTCTCACCATCAGGGCAGCTCCGCCCTGCCCTGGGAGGATTCACATCTCAGCCCACACTCCCCATACCCTGAGGAGCAGCTTTCTCAGAACGATTTTCTTGATCTTTTAGTTCTTCTCGAAGCGTTCCTGCCCTCCGACAGCACCCATGGGCAGGAATCACAAGGCTACTGAAAGCAGTGGAGTCGTGCCAGGGATAATTTTGGTTGACTCAGTACCAGCCTGCCCTGTGAGGTCAGGTCTGTAGGTAGATGACAACAGAGGAGTTTATTATATGTGCATAATTAAACCTGCGAGCCACAGCCGAGCTTTTTTACTGAGTAATAAAAAGCGTTCTTGGCCCCTGGACACTTGGGAACAATCCCTGCAGCTGCACAGCCCGGTCTGCGTGGGAGGTGTTGGAGCGAGTGCGCTCCTCGCCTCCCTCTGCAGCGAGCAGAGGGGATGATGGCAGAGGTGCTCCTGAGAGCAGGGGAAATAAAAACAACCAAAACCTGTGCAGCCAGCCTCGGCAAGAGCTTGAATCCAGCACACGCTGGCGAGCTGTGAGTTCCAGGTTGTACAAATTGTCCTGCAAGAGGATGGGGAGTGTGGAGAGGACGCAGATGCTGTTTTCAAGGTGGACCTAAGGCTAAAAGGGAGCTTGAATAAATGAAAGAGCTTGGATTTTGTGCTGGAGCTGGTGGTCCCCTCTCCTGCCTCTTGGCACTGATGGGAATGCCAGCCAGGGAATGCCAGGCACCCAGGGAATGCCAGGGAATGCCAGGGAACGCCAGGGAATGCCAGGCAGGCAGGGCACAGGCTGACACCACCCTCTGCTGGGGACCCGGCGTGGAGCTTCTCTGGGCTCGCAGACTTCGCTCCGTGTGCTTTTGTTTCATTTCCTCGCCCGGGATGAGCCCGAGAGGGAGCTGGACGCACTGGGAAGATGCTGCCAGAGGGAACATGGAGCTTTCTCACCCCCAGATGTGTCAGCGTGTGCAGACAGGGAGCCCCGCAGGCAGCCCCCATAGCTCGGGTCCCGGCCTGGAGGGAATGAGGGGGGGACCCGGGCGGTGAAGGGGTGACAGGTTTGGAACGTCCCAGAGCTGGCTGGGGACATCCTAGTCATGGGGGGGGGAGGAAGGGAGGAAGGGAAGAAGGGAGGGAGGGAGGGAGGGAGGAAGGAAGGGAGGAAGGGAGGAAGGGAGGAAGGAAATTAAATGCACTGACATGTATGAAGACACCATACCTTACAATCAGCCCCTAAATACCTGGGACGTGGCTGCATTTCCAATAAAGGTGCATTTTCTGCAATGTTTGGTGTCACTCCAGGGTTCTCTACATGCAGAGAAGCAGCCACAGTGCAGTCCCTCTGAAAATATCCCTTAAACACCAGAAGCACACCGCCAGAAGATCCTCTTTTCCCAGCCAGGCAGTGTCTGTGGATTGCCATTGCCACCTTCTGGATTAGTCCAAGCGTGCAGCAGCGGGTCCCGGAGCCGTGCTGTGTCTCCAGCTGGAGCCAGGGTCCCCAGAGCAGGACTGGCCTGGCTGCTGGCATGGCAGCTGTCACAGCCTACGTGCCGTTTGCAACACGCCCTGAGATTTTGTGATCTCCTTTCACCGACTATTTTAGGAAAGCCGTGCAAGCCCCAGCTTGGCAAACCCACTGCTCGATTATCAGCCAGGGGGAAATCACAGGGCCACCAAAGTGTTCAGCTGCTGGGTACAGACAATAATCTCTGTCTGGCTCATCACACACCTGATCTACCTGCCCAGACAAGGTGCACCCTGCCACAGTCTCTGCAATTATCTTCTGCTAACGGGCCTGCCAGCACAGCCCGTGTCCCGGCCCTTCCCGCAGGAGACACCTCCTGGAGCCTGTCACCGTGGAAAGGAGCAGGAAAATTAACCTGGCACAGCTCCATGCAAGGCAGAAGGGATGAACTGGATTCGCCTCTGGCACTGGAGCAACGGGAGCACTCAGCCTCGGGTGCTCTTTGTTTGTGCAACTCCTCTGGTAAAGGATTCTGACCCCGGGCAGCAAGCAGGTGGAGCTGGCACTTCCCCGGGCATTTCCCTGTGGAAGAGTCTCATTTTGGGATGCTCCAGCTGTACTGAATGCCAGCAAACACCTATTAATAGCTCCCAGTGCCACCACTGCACTGCTGGGACACCCTCACTAATTAATCATCCTCCACCGGGCTCCACCCCAACAGGTTTCCCGTAAAAATCAGAGAGATCCGGAGTGTTCACAGCCCCAGGAGCTCGGCAAGGGGGAAAGCACCCAGCCCAGCCCCTCAGTGTAGCCATGGCACAGCAGAGGAATGGCCTGAGGCAGCTCGGGGACAGCAAAGCAGAGATTGATTTCCTCGGAGGAAGGTGGGGAGGAACAAACCATTGGCCGAGTAGCAGCTGGATTTCACCTCATCCCTTCCACTGCTGCTGCCTCCATGGTTTATTTGGGAAGGGTCCTGGCTCAAGGGACTCACAGGAATGGGTGGAGTGGAGAGGTCAGAGCAGTTGGAGCTTGGCAGGTTCCAATCCTTCTCCTGCCCCCTCTCAGCAGGGCACCCACCCCCCTTACCAGCTTCTGTTTGGTGATAACAGAGCCAGGAATTTTACAGACCAGACCAAAAGAGCCTTAAAAACTTAAATTTTGTCCACTAAAGGATTTTGCACTTTGTTCTGCGGCTTCCACGAGTGGGTCAGGGCTAGCAGGAATAGCAGGAAGCAGATTAAGCAGCAGAGTCAGGATATTTCTGATAATAAACATTTTAATAGTGTAGTAGTGTGTTGTTGTTTGTTTTTTTTTCTTTTCTTCTTCCAGCTTCTTTGTGTTTGGCCTAAATCTCCTGGGAACCGGGAACTGCAGCATGCCTTCCCTGTGACGGAAGCAAACCACAGCCTCTTGTTTGTGTCCGTGAAGAAGGGGAGCAGCGCCTGGAGTAGCTCTGCTCGGATAAATGCATCGGGTCCTTCGCAGGAGATTAGATGGCGCTGCCTTCACAGGAGATAAGAAGATTGAGAGCTTAAATTTAGCATCAGCAGGAAAAGAATAAACCCTGCAGCTCTCTTCAAAACATATTTCGTTCTGTGCTGGCCAGGGGACAGGCGGGATAAGGAGCGGCGCTGGGGCAGACAGCGGTGATGGGCGGAGGTCACGGAGGGGCTGCTCAGACACGCTCCTTTCCCACCCGCTGATGGTGGCATGAGGCTGGCAGCACACAGGGGTGTCCCCTGCCTGTCGTGACCCCACGGGTGGGCGGTCATGGGAGCCCAAAGGGGTACAAAGGGTGCCCGCCCCATCCCAGCACACGCGGCTGCCCCAGTGTCACCCAGCAGAAAGGAGAGTGGGCTGGAAATCCCAGCCTGCGGCAGCCGGGAGAGCCCCTCTCCCAAAGGACAGACCTGGGAGGACCCCCCAGTCCAGCCCCAGTGCTCCCAGTGCTCCCAGTATGGGCTCAGCACACGCTGGACTGAGCGTCCCTTTAAAACACCGCGCATCCAGTGCTGGGTGACAGCACCCTCGCACCCACTGGGCTTCACTGCCATCCCCGGACCCACATATCCACCTCGGGGTGTCCCCCTGCCATCCCCGGACCCACACATCCGCCTCGGGGTACCCCCTGCCATCCCCGGACCCACACATCCACCTCGGGGTGTCCCACTGCCATCCCCGGACCCACACATCCACCTCGGGGTGTCCCACTGCCATCCCCGGACCCACACATCCACCTCGGGGTGTCCCCCCGGACTCCCACACCCCACTGGGGGTGTCCCCCTGCCATCCCCACGCACCCACCCGATCTCTCCCATGCCCTGGGCC